AATGAGAGAGGCAAACCAAATCCCCCTCCTGCCCCCAATGATGTATCTCAACAATTAGAATTTAAAATTGCCCCACAAAATCCCAGAGTTTGGAATGTTTGCTTACTGTTGAAAATTACCTAGGGCCGCCTCTGGCAGGACCACACTCTCTCCATGGACATACCCAAGGAAATATTTTTTTCAATTGAATGGCATCATTTTTGTTATATTTTGTAAGATTTATTTATCTCAAAATGGCAGTTTGGAAAGGAGTGATATGTATGTCCATACTTTTTGTTTTCCTTCAAAAACGGTTAAGGCCTTGTAAAACTGGATCATTTTCTCTGTGTTTCTTACTCTTTAGATGTCTCAGTCATGTCATTAACAACTATCAGAAATGTCAGAACTAAGCACCTTGGCAATTAGAAGTCAGAATGTTTCCATGACCACAGGGTTTGCCACGGCAGCACACCGCAAGTGGTAAAAAGGAACATCACTCTAATGTCTCCCACACAGAAGTGAGGCAATTATCTCCCCGTTGTTCCAAATCAGCTAATCCACTTCAGAGTGAATTCTCAAGAACAGACACTGAAGGACAGGTTGGGGAGCAGAGAGAGGAAAAGGCAGAGAAATGCAACATGTTTTCATTCCAAAGGAGTGGAAGAACCTCCGCCATTTAAAGCTGTGTAGCTCACTCTCGGAAATCTTCATTGCGGTCCTCCAGGAAGTGCCCTTGGTCAATGCAACCTTATGGGGTCATTTGAGGAGAAGCCAGCTATGAAAACATGTTCAATTTCTCTTGTTTTTAGCTGCAGAACTGTCAGCATTGACTCAAAGGCAGAGAAGGTCAGTTAAAAATGTATTCCCAAACACCTTGGGATATTCCTTCTTGACTATCTATCTCCACAAAATCCTAATTATAGCACACTCAGATACATTTTTCTGAATGTTAGATCTATCCAACTTCAAGTAAGGAAAAAACAAAAAACAAAAAACGTTCTAATTAAACATGTTTAACATTTGCCTTCAACAGAAATACATGTATTTTATTTTGGGTATTACCATAGAAGTAACCACAGCTGGTGGCGCAGTGGGTTAAATTACTGAGCTGCTGAACTTGCTGACTGAAAGGTTGGTGGTTCGAATCTAAGGAGCAGGGAGAGCTCCTGCTGTTAGCCCCAGCTTCTGCCATAATAGTTTGAAAACATGCAAATGTGAGTAGATTAATAGGTATTGCTTCTGGAGGAAGGTAATGGCGCTCCATGCAGTCCACATGACCTTGGAGGTGTCTACGGACAACGCCGACTCTTTGGCTTAAAAATGAAGATGAGCCTCATCCCCCAGAGTTGGTCAGACTAGACTTAATGTCAGTGGAAACCTTTACCTTTACTAACCACAGGTGTGTTACTTTATTGCAAATATTTTACATATAGGGTTCCAATATCCAGAATTATATATGCAACAGAGCTTGAAATAACAAAATTCAAATCAAATCATTGGGGTGATTCTCTAGTGTGGTTTGCTCATAAATTTTTAGCAATAACTCCCTTTCTGTGAGCTGCAAAGTGTCAAAATAAATGCAGAATAGTTTTCAAAGTGGGAAGACTTTTTCCTACTCTATTTTAAGCTCTGTTATCATGTGCTGAAGGTAAATAAAGGAAAAATCCAAATTTAGATTCATGTCAGCAGAAAATTTGCATTGCAGTAAATGAACAGCTTCTAGGCTGCTTTTCCCCAGACTGTGAAAATGTTTCTACATTTCCATATCAAAGCAATACCAGATCATCTATTTTAGGATTCTGGAGATGGGAGGAAAAGTATACGATCTTTGTGCATGTACACGTGTGTCTACACCCATGTGCCTACTTATGTAAACTATTTTGAGGACTCCAATGTGTAACCAGAGAAATATGACACATTGGTGTATTTGGAGACAAGATGAATGATTTCTAGGTTCCTTCAAAAGTTTTATTCTTTTTTTGTTGCCCATTTTGTATAAAATGATCCATGCCATTGTCATTTTATTTCCCAAAAGTTTACCTGTATATTTTTAGATATGTTCATTTCTTGCAGTATATCTATCCTAAGCAAATAAATGAGTCTGAGAGCAAATCAAGCCTGAGATCTCAGCAGAAGCCCAAAACTGAAGCTAGTAAGCTTAGACAATATTGAAATATATCAGAGAAAAGCTATGGCAAAGCCCTTGTGAACGAATCATCCCAAAAAAAATCATGGTAGGATTTCCTTAGGGTTGCCGTGAGTCAGAAACAACTTGAGTATGCACAACAACAATACAAGAAGAGTGGGTTGCTGTGAGTTTTCCAGGCTGTATGGCCATGTTCCAAAAGCATCCTCTCCTGAAGTTTTGCCCTCATATATAAGGAGCCCCTGGTGGTGCAATGGGTTAAACCCTTGGGCTGGCAGGACTGAAGACTGACAGGATGGAGGTTCAAATCCAGGTAGAGCATGGATAAGTTCCCTCTGTCAGCTCCAGTTCCCCATGTGGGGACATGAGAGAAGCCTCTCACACGGACGATAAAACATCAAAACATCCGGGCGTCCCCTGGGCAACGTCCTTGCAGACAGCCAATTCTCTCACACCAGAAGTGACTTGCAGTTTCTCAAGTTGCTCCTGACATGGAAAAAAACCCCCACATCTATGGCAGGCATCCTCAGAGGTTGTGAGGTCTGCTGGAAACTAGACAAGTGGGGTTTATATATCTCTGGAATGTCAGGGGTGGGGCAAAACTATTGACTGTTGGATGAAAGTGTGAATGTTGCAATTGGCCAGCTTGATTAGCATTGAATGGCCTTTCAGCTTCAAAGCCTGGCTTTTTCCTGCCTGGGGGAATCCTTTGTTGGGAGGTTTTAACTGGCCCTGATTGTTTCATGCCTGGAATTCCCCTGTTTTCTGATTGTTATTCTCTATATACTGTCCTGATTGTAAAGTTTTTAAATACAAGAACATATGAGAATCCTCAGAAAATATATATAAATAAAAAGTAATGTTAGTTTGTGGGATTAACATAACTCAAACACCACTGGACTAATTGACACCAAATTTGGACACTACACCCCTAACAGACCAATAAGTGCCTATCACTCATAAATCCAAAAACTCCCCAAAAAAGACTTAAAAACCCCAAAAAGCTAAATGAGGATACAGCGCATGTACGAAACTGACAGCTCCCAGCATCCTCTAGACCAGGCCCTTTAGGGGAGGAGGATGCTCCAAATGCACTGCTTCCAAGCTGCAAGCTTGCTTCTCCTTGAATTTCTTTGAGAGCATCCCAATCCGTACATATTTCCTATTCCCTATTCCTGGACTGCAACTCCCAGTAATCCTCCAGATAGATAGATTAGATAGAGAGAGATAGGTAGGTAGAGATAAGGAGGACTGCTGGGAGTTGCAGTCCAAGAATAGGTAGAGAAGGAAGAGAGGAGAGAAGAGGAAGGGAAAGAAAAGGGAGGGGGAAGAGGAAGGGAAGGAGGAGAGAAGGAAAAGAAAGAAAAAAAAGGGAAGGAGGAAAAGGGGAGGGAAGGATGGAGAGAAAGAAAGAAGGAGAGAAAGAGGGAGGGAAAGTTTACCACAGCAACCTGTGGCGGGTACAGCTAGTTATTAATATTAACCAACTGAAATTCTGTATATTTAATATCCAGTACAACTCCCATATCTACTGAATTCTAGGAATTTCAGCATAACACTATTGTATTCATGGACAAGAGATCCTTCATTTCAATAGGATTTGCTATTACCCCGGTTTTGTGCACATGTGTATGCGAAGTCTAGGAATGCATCCCCCATGAATACCCCATATGTAGTACTGTAATAAATGTTACCATCTTCCTGAAGATCTCAATGAGAGCTACCATCCTAGTAGAATATTGTGTCCAATTCTGGGCACCACAATTCAAGAGAGATCTTGACAAGCTGGAATGTGTCCAGAGGAGGGCAACTAAAATGATCAAGGGTCTGGAGAACAAGCCCTATGAGGAGCAGCTTAAGGAGCTGGGCATGTTTAGCCTGAAGAAGAGAAGGCTGAGAGGAGATATGATAGCCATGTATAAATATGTGAGAGGAAGCCACAGGGAGGAGGGAGCAAGCTTGTTTTCTGCTTCCTGGAGACTAGGACGCGAGGAACAATGGCTTCAAACTACAAGAAGGAGATTCCATCTGAACATGAGGAAGAACTTCCTGACTGTGAGAGCCGTTCAGCAGTGGAACTCTCTGCCCCGGAGTGTGGTGGAGGCTCCTTCTTTGGAAGCTTTTAAACAGAGGCTGGATGGCCATCTGTCAGGGGCGATTTGAATGCAATATTCCTGCTTCATGGCAGGGGGTTGGACTGGATGGCCCATGAGGTCTCTTCCAACTCTTTGAGTCTATGATTCTAGATGACATGTTAATATTTTCCTCCCACTGCACAATGCCAAGGCTGATATTTTCTTGCAAACTTGCTGAATTCATCTTCTTGTGTCAAATATTCTGCTCCGTGCGATCAGATCGCAAGGGTTAAGTCAATGAGTTCTAACACAATTGTTAGGAAAGGACACTGTGTGTTTCTCTCCAGTATTAGCAAATATACAATGAGAACCATGTGAATGGGATATTTCCCCGTTGAGCTTGGTTATACCTGTGTGCCCTGTCTCTGGCAGACCAAGGTGTCCTCATTAATGGCTGTTCCAAATTTAGCCATTGCTGGGAGCCTCTGCCCCTGGTATAATCAAAGACCTGGTATCCATAGTGATGACACAGAGCATCTGGAGCGAGAGGAGTTGTCAATCGTTCTAATAAGGTGCAGGGTGGAAAGAATACACAACGGCGAGAGTGGTGTATCAATTCACTCTGTGGCTGGGAGGAAATTGGTTTGCATCTCTTATTTTTCCCCTTGCAAATACAATTAAATACGAGACAAATACCTGAATCCAGATTATTTACTGGGTGCCAGGCTGTGATTGCAAGCTTCTTGACACTTTACATTACTAATCCGCCCTTTTTTTCCCATTTTCATTTGAACCTGCAGATTTACCGGCATTCGTATACAGCTTTTTACGTCCTCAGAAAACTGCCTAATGGGTAAGTGATGTAATGTAGCATTTGTATTTTAAACACGGGCATTGTTTTTAAAGCAGGCTACTACAAGGAAGACAAATTATATGTATTGAACAATGCCGCTGTGTGTTCCATTATTTTAACCATTGAGCATGGCATGAAAATTGACAAGTCCAATAATGAAAAAGGCTACAGATTGAATTTAACCTCAACAGCCTTGTCTCATAATTGGGAACATAGCAATGTTGCTATGGGTTGTTGTAGGTTTTCCTCAGAGAATGCTTGCCACAGATGCAGGCGAAACATCAGGAGAGAATGCTTCTAGAACATGGCCATACAGCCCGAAAAACCTATAACAACCCAGTTATTCCAGCCATGAAAGCCTTCGACAATACAGTATTGCTATACCAGCACTCACATGGATACCAGCTAATCCAGGTGCCCTTCTTCATCAGACATTTTTTGTTTTAAGAATCCAAGAACATTGCTCAGTTCAGGGCTTCATGTGCTTTTTGTGAATGGTAATGCCAAGAGTCCCAAAGATGACGTATCGGATGTCTATGGTGGCTGGAGTATCCTGGAACTTGCAGTCCAAATGTATGAGGCTTACTTGTTACTCTGTATAATTTCCCAAGTACAATATCTTGCCTGGCCTGGTACCTGAAATCCTTAATTTCAGGTTTTGTTATTGTTGTTGTTTTGAATGCAGGATGGCAACTTACTACATTGATTGAAGGGAAGGTGGGTGAGGGCAAACAAATTGAAACTTTGAATCCAGACATGACAGAGATACTTCTGGTCAGTCAAAAGGCAGATCAGGAAATAAGGATCTAGACTGTGCTGGATGGGGTCACACTCCTGAAGACACAGGTCCTCCGTTTGGGGGTCCTCCTGGACTCAGCACTGAACCTGGAGGCCTAAGAGTCAGTGGTGGCTTGGAGAGGCAACTGTGCCCATTCCATGAGAAGCCAGATCTGGCTATGATGGTACATGTCTTAGTTACATTCCGCCTGGATTATTGTAATGCGCTCTACATGAGGCTCCCTCTGAAGAATGCTCGAAAACTTCAGCTGGTCCAAAGAGCTGCAGCCAGGTTGTTCACTGGGTCTGGCTTTATTTGTCGTGTCAGATTAACCAGTCAATTATATTACATTTCTAACAGAACAAAGCAAACAACCACATAAAACACAACATTTGTGAGTTTGGTAGTTGATTAAATGTCCTTTGACCAGTATCTGGCCACTTGGAGTGCCTCTGGTGTTGCTGCAAGAAGGTCCTCCATTGTGCATGTGGCAGGGCTCAGGTTGCATTGCAGCAGGTGGTCAGTGGTTTGCTCCTCTCCACACTCGCATGTGGATTCCACTTTGTAGCCCCATTTCTGAAGGTTGGCTCTGCATCTTGTGGTGCCAGAGTGCAGTCTGTTCAGCGCCTTCCAAGTCACCCAGTCCTCTGTGTGCCCAGGGGGGAGTCTCTCATTTGGTATCAGCCATTGGTTGAGGTTCTGGGTTTGAGCCTGCCACTTTTGGACTCTCGCTTGCTGAGGTGTTCCAACGAGTGTCTCTGTAGATCTTAGAAAATTATTTCTAGATTTAAGTCGTTGACGTGCTGGCTGATACCCAAACAGGGGATGAGCTGGAGATGTCTCTGCCTTGGTCCTTTCACTATTGGCTGCTACTTCCGGGCGGATGTCAGGTGGTGCAATACCGGCTAAGCAGTGTAATTTCTCCAGTGGTGTGGGGTGCAGCACCCTGTGATAATGCGGCATGTCTCATTAAGAGCCACATCCACTGTTTTAGCGTGGTGAGATGTGTTCCACACTGGGCATGCATACTCAGCAGCAGAGTAGCACAGCGCAAGGGCAGATGTTTTCACTGTATCTGGTTGTGATCCCCAGGTTGTGCCAGTCAGCTTTCGTATGATATTGTTTCTAGCACCCACTTTTTGCTTGATGTTCAGGCAGTGCTTCTTGTAGGTAAGAGCTCTAGGTCTGGCTGCAGAGAGCAGACAATTCCCCTCTTGAAGCAGTTCCACAGGCTTCCTGTCAGTTTCCAGGCACAATTCAAAGTGCTGGTGATGACCTTTAAAGCCCTAGACGGTTCAGTTCCAGGCTATCTGGGTGACTATATCTCTTTGTGGGAAACTACCCGGGCCTTGGGATCTTCAGGAGAGGCCCTTCTCTTGATCCCACCTCCATCTCAAGCTTGGTTGATGGGAATGAGAGAGAGAGAGAGAGCGCAAGCCTTCATTATTGGTGGCTGCTCTGCAATTCTGGAACTCTCTTCTTCCCAGAGAAGTCAGAATAGCCCCCTCCATGCTTTCCTTTGACAGGACACTAAAACCTTTTTATTCAGACAGACTTTCAAAGACGAAAGTTTTCAAGGTCAGGGAGTGGGTGGTTTTTAATTCAGGGGGATTGGGGGGATTAGAGGGAATATGAGTTTTAAATGACATTTTAGTATGTGCTGTTTTAATTTTGTTTTTTTATCACTATTTAATTCCTTTTTAATTGCTTTTTAACTTTTGTATTGCACCTTTTAAACTTTCCTAGTGTGGAGTGTTAGTCGCCTTGTCTCCCCACGGGGAGAAAGACAGGTTAAAAATAACGATGATAATAATGATGATGATGATAATAATAATAATACAAATACAACTTCGACAAAGAACTGGTGGGATCGCAAGCCTGAAAAAGTAACAAAATGAAAATGTCAAACTACTCTGGGACTTTTGCATTCAGACTGACAGAGTTTTGTAGATCAATACTCCTGAGCTCAGATTGTGTTAAAAAACCAAGTATGGATTGTCAATGTTGCAATCCCAGGTGATAGCAGGATTGAAGAGAAACAACTGGAAAAGCTGACATGATATGAAGATTTAAAGATCGAACTGCAGAGACTTTGGCACAAGTCAGTAAAGGTGGTCCCAGTGGTGATTGGCACACTGGGTGCAGTGCCTAAAGATCTTGGCCTGTACTTAAACACAATTGACGCTGACAAAATTCCAGTCTGTCAGCTGCAAAAGGCCACCCTACTCAGATCTGCACACATTATTCGCCGATATATCACACAGTCCTAGACACTTGGGAAATGTCCGATGTATGATGCAATACAACAGCCAGCATAGTGATCTTGTTTGCTGTGTATTAATCCTGTTGTGTTTCAAATAATAATAATAAGAAGAGGAGGAGGAGGAGGAGGAGGAGGAGGGGGGGGGGAGGAAATAATAATGCCATTAAGGCCAGGATTGAAAAATCAGCTGATGACCCAAAATGCAGACTGTGCAAGGAAGCTGATGAAACCATGGATCATATCCTCAGCTGTTGCAAGAAAATTGCACAGACGAATTACAAACAAAGGTACAACTCTGTGGCCCAAATGATTCACTGGAACTTATGTCATAAGTACCARCTGGCAGCAGTAAAGAATTGGTGGGATCATAAACCCCAAAGGTCGTGGGAAATGAACATYCAGAAATACTTTGGGACTTTCAGATCCAGACTGACAAAGTTTTGGAACACAATACACCAGACAACATGATTGTGGAAAAGAAAAAAAAACTTTGGATTATTGATGTCGCCATACCAGGTGATATTCGCATTGAGGAAAAACAACAGGAAAAAACTCAGGACCTCAAAATTGAACTTCAAAGGCTCTGGCATAAAACTAGTACAGGTGGTCCCAGTGGTCACTGGCACACTGGGTGCCATGCCAAAAGATCTCAGCTGGCATTTGGAAATAATAAACATTGACAAAATCAAGATCTGTCAACTGCAAACAGCCACCTTACTTGGATCTGCACGCATCATTGGAAAATACATCACACATCCCTAGACGCTTGGGAAGCGTTTGACTTGTGATTTTGTGATATGAAATCCAGCATATAGATCTCATTTGCTGTGACATACTGTATTTTTGTGTCAGTAATAATAATAATAATAATAATAATAGTCTTTCTTTGCCTCCAAGTCCCATCATTCCCAGTCTGCATGGCTAAGGGCTTCCCTGTTTGCTCCATAATTAAATTATGGAATTAACCTCTGTTAATACATGCCACCAGCCACTACTTTAGAATGCTTTGAAATGGATTGGAGAAATCATGCGTAGCAAATAGCTCTGTCGATGGCTATTAGCCCTAACATAGTCTATTGACTATGTTATGTATATATGTCAGTGTACAGAAGCATTTGAATATATACTCACTGACAGTATATTGTACACAGGATCCTGAATGTCGGAAGGGGTGCCCATGGTAGTCTTCCTCGTTACATTACAAGTTAGAAGCCCATAATAGGAGCTGTCTTTTCCCCATAATAGCAACTTGCTTTTATGGGTCAAGCAAGAAGCTTTACCATCTCTAGTCTCATTTTCGCATATTACCATCCCTCGTTTTCATTCTCTCTCAACTCCTATCTCTCACTTGTTCCTCACATATTCTCTCTTCCATCTTAAAGACTAATTTACCTGAAAAGCAAAATCATACGGTAAAGCTGATTATTATAGATAGGGCCAGCTCAGACCGCAAGAAAACTTACAGATTTAGGTGGCTTGCGGCATGGAGACTTCCTAAATATGTTCAGTAGAACATGTGAAGATTACAGCTTTAAAGAAGCTGGTAAAACATTCAAATGCAGAGAATGAAATTTCCAAGAGTTGGTCAAAATATACTTCAGTCTGACTTGTTCCAACTAGTGATATTTCTGACCCTGAACCCACCAATAAATGTATGTGTGCTGACACGTCCTGGGCCTATAGCAATTGTCTTTTAAAACAGGACGTGCTCTTTGTGCCTAGCGGAATGCTGGGGTGCCTTGGCTGAGAGGCCCTATGGATTTTCCTAAACAAAGTCTTTAGAAACTTGGAAAGTTTAACAAAGTTATTTATTATTGCTTAGATCTTCAACAAAACACACAAATTCTTCTTAACTTGCCCACAAAGGACAGGCAGCTTGCTTCGTGAACTATTTTTTTCTTTTACAAGGAAAACCCTCCGACCCCTCCCTGGGAAATCTGTCTTTAGGCTGGCTGGCGT